CTCACATCACCAAGCGCGAAGCGCCGTGAGATATTCGGCGAGTCGCATGAATGTTGCGCTGCATCCTGCTAAGGGTCCTCGGCATCTTGTGCTTACTTCCTTCGTACGGATGACAGCTGCGTATGACTTGATTTCTTTTCTGGTGCTTTCGATTCCAGAGACAGTTGTTATCACTGTGTAACTGCCTCGAGGGTGCTTGACCATTTTAACAAAACGTGGTGCGATCATCCCCCTTGTGCGGAGTAGGGATTCTCGACCCCGCACAACATGATCTACTCGACCACCATTATGGTTACCGCCAAAAAAAAGCAGAAGTAAAAATAAACAGTAGTCTGGTTGCCGAGCTCACGAAGTGAATCGGCTTGTTTTACAAAGTCGTTGCCAAGCGACGAAAGCCCGATCCCGATGGCAAACACCGGGGGGGGCGGCGGGATGGGGGTGGGTGGTACCATTAACACGATCTTCTTGGCCGCAGGGTATATTCATTCAGACCGGTCCCGTTGAGTCCTACTCTATCTTAATAGGAAACGGAGAGGAGCATGCGGGTTTTGCCTGGGTGGAACTCTGAGGCGGTGTTTCCCAAGAGGGGGATGGGGGGGGGGATGTGCTCATAGCCGTGGGTGGGTGATTAGCAGGGGAAGACTTAATCAGGCCCGTTGTGTGCGGTGATTGGCGTGCAATGAGATGGGGCTCGGAAGGCTTGGGGGACCAACAGGTGGCCCATCGCCATCATCGTGTTATGCCTACATACCACTTCCGGTCGACGACGTTCAAACGGCGTGAGGAAAACTTCGTCACGAGAGGTGCCACGGTACCAATAGCAACTGCCGACACCATGCGCTTTTTCCGGGAAATCGGAACACATAATGTGCGCCAACAATTATTTCTTCAACAGCCTGGTGGAACGCCGTCGTCGTATCGATATGGAACTTGTATTTGTACAAAAAAAAAACGCCAACAACACACACGTTTACACTGCATTAGGTCGCGTGCGGGCGGATGCCAAGCCCGCGTCCGGCGCAAGGTCTGTCGATCTGCCCATGATAAATACGAAGCAGACTATAGAAATAAACACATGTGAAAAACAAGAGGTCGCCAAGAGCGTACACTTTCAAGCAACAGCAATTTTGCACCCAACAAAGTGAACCCAAAACAGTAGTGTGGCGTTGAACCGACCAAGTCAAACCCCAACAAGAAAGCAAGAAAATATAAGCACCTGGAAGGTTTACCATGTTGCATGCTATGCCGGTCGCAGAATCGATATGCACGACACATGCCTACGTGCACGCCTACGTTTTTCCTTGACAGGGTGCACGCCGGGAATACACATGGGATAGACTTATAACATGAGCAAGCTTATCATCTGGGAGGGCAAGAACAGCCAACGGGATTCCACCGTCTGCGCCATGACAAATGATTTAATTTGTACGGATGCATGCACACACGATGTCCATTGCATGCACCGATAGAACGAGAGAAAAACAAACTTGACCACCATATTGAATTACAATCGGCTAATTTTCGGGCAGCAAAACACAAATGACGCCGGCCTGTCGATTACTATTTGCATTGGATGAAACCTAAACCTGTGATCATAATGCATCAGCACCACCTCGCTGCGCGGAAGACGGACATTTGTTAATTTTCAAAAAGGAAACGAATGAATGAAGCGGGGTGGGGCGGCTCTCTCCCTCTCTTAGAGTAAGATAAAAGCGGCATGAGTCCAAGATTTGAGCAGAAAGTCCACCCGAAAACTGTTTTCATGGCGAAGGGGCTACCATCGCAGGCGCCCCAAAAACGACACCGACTATACCTTCGTCTCACGCGCAAGAAGCCTGCTGCGGTTGCGGAGCTGATACGCCAGAGCTTCGTTCCAGCCGGCTTTCCAAAGAGCGGCAAAATCGACCCGACCCCCCTCCTCTTGCGGCCTGCCAAATTGGGATCCGTCTCGGTCCAAAAAAAAAATCGAGACTACAACCTCCGATAATAGTGACGTAAATAGGGAGTAAGACACACACGCCACTCTCTCTCTCTGCTGTGGTAGATCCAAGTCACCCGTCGCCGGTCCCCTCGCTACATGGCCTCGGGAGGGGCGCACGCAGCTGTGAACGTTTACACTACCCCGCACATACACGCAGGAGAAATAAATACAGAAATTGCGCAACGGGGGGAAGGGGGGGGGCACTGTTGCAAACGCGACCTTCCTGACTGCGAACCATCACCGAGAAGCGCCCAACGAGCGGCATTCACCTCTCGCTTTTAGCGGAGTGTATACGTGGGCAGAGCCTTGGGTGTGAGGAGAGTGTGTCTGCCCTGGTTTTCCGTGTGCGTTGTGGCTTCCAAAGCTAAGGCTCTGTTGCGACAATGAAGCCCGCCGTGACGAACATGTCCTCCGCGAGATTTGCGGCAGCCGCTGCCTGCATACTCGGGAGCATCGGCATGACCTCTGCCTTTGCAGGTGCGAAACTCATGCGTAAGGCGTGTGCGGCGTGCTCTGTGTCCAATCGAGTTCAACAGAAAGGTCGGTGTCGCCTGCAGTATCACACCAGCGAATTGCTGTAGTCTATTCACTATGTACACATGTACGACGGCGCCTGCTGCGCGTGCTTCGGCTCTCTCTTTCTGGTACATAATGCCGCGATTCAGCTGGGCGTGCTGTTCTTGAGGGTGGTGCAAGTAGCGAGCCGGCGGCGGAGCACGTGTATCCTGTCGGAGGAGCCAACTCTCGATGCGTTGACAGCACGACATTGTCAACACGTTGACAGATGTTCCGGATGCTATCAAGTGTAGTCATAGTTGCATGGGCGGCTGGCTGCCGTGTGGTACATACAGCAAGCAGCGGACGCAGACCCACCACGACCAAGCAACCGTTCCCCGTTCCTCCTTTAGAGAACATTCTGGTACATCACTGGTCCCTGTGGGCTATCTTAATGCGATCCATACTGACTGCGGGGAATTGCGATGTAGTTTTTCACCTCATGAGAGCAGAGTCGTGGATAAAGTGGTGATGGTGGCGTCGAGACTTCGCCCGCACATACGCGAAGATTGCGCAGCAGTGCCCAGCAGCAGCATCTTTCGTGTGACCAACGCCGAACCTACGCACGCATGGCCTTGTAACAAATTCGGACCATGAAAAGGCCAGGGACACCCGAGTACCACCACAACCATATGCAGAACTACTTGAGAAAAAGAGGGTAGCTTGAAAAACTTTCGCAAGAAATTATCACCGCGATGGACGACGGCTTGCTACAACACCTTGAGGTACTACAATACTGCCGTACCTGCTGCTGTCACTGCGGGACATGCAGTCGAACCAGGTAGAAACGACAACGATAACAAATATCATAGGCTCCCTGGAATAAGGCTGCCTGTACATGGCTTCACGAAATGTGGCCGGCCTTGTGCAGGGATCACCGCTGCTGTGCACCCCCGCGTTTTTCAGACACAAGTGGGGCACGAGTTGAGGACTCGCGCAGCCGTTCTGTTTAGCCCATTGGTTCACCCATGGTAAAATTGCACCAGTACAACTCTGAAGATCCAGACGACAGCACCCAGGGGCTCATGACGAACACCAAGCACGCGCGCTCAACAGCCGAAAGCAGTCTCCAGTACTACCACAGGAGCGAGAAATGTTTCACGACTTCTTGGAGTGCTCAGCTGCCGCTCAATATCAAGGCCGGGTGCACATGTGCCGATCCCCTGCATTGTTGTTGTGCTTTCTTCTCTGCTACGTCGCCCGCAGGAGTCAGCTTGGCTGCCGGCAGGAAGATGCAACCACCGTCGGCCGCCCGTCAGGCAGCCACCCTCGGCAACGCCGCCGGCGCTGGCGCGCGCGCGGCTCCCCTCCACACCGCGTCCACGGCCAGGGGAGGCGGCGCCTCTTCGCCGCTGCGAATGGTCGCCGCCGAGCCTGCGTTGAAGCCCACGAGGTGCGTGTGCGCACGTGCTTACAAGGCGACATGTGTTTGCTGCTCTCTCCGCCTTCGCTCTCCCCGGTCATCTTGATGCACGACACACAGAGCCGACCGGGATGCGGCGCGACTCTGCGTCGCAAGCAAGAGTGTCAGAACCCGCTCTCATGACGACGACGCAAGTAGCATACATGCTCCTGTATCACGCAACAGCAGCGATACGTGCACTCGCTTCTTGCTGAATTGAAGAACGTTCTTGCGGGGTTTCTTTCATACCGGACCTGTGACTTTACGATTGGGTCACGGGCATCACAAACGCGGACGGGTGGGTAACGGGAGTTGTTATGTCTCTCGACGAATGTGCGTGTCGCCCTCGGTTTCTATCCAACGCGAGAGGCAGAGGTGGGGCAGAGCTATCCTGTGGATCCCTCTTGGTCTGTGTGCGTCCCGTGCGAGCGGCAGCGGCATTAGGTGACACTTGTAAACGTCAGTGTTCCTCTGCTTTTTTTTCCGCTGGCCTCGTTGGGCGAGAAAATGCACCGCCGTTCTGATCAAGCCAGCGTCAGCCAACGTAACTCCTCGTTCGAAACGAAGTCGAGAGTTCCAGAAGCCGCCGGCTATAGCATGCATAGCTTGACTCCAGCACTGCTGTTAACGCTGCTTCTAAGCTAGCACTAATCGCCACCAGCCTTATCCCAGTCACCCTCTCTCTCTCTCTCTCTCTCTCTCTCTCTCTCTCTCTGCGTGTTTTTCGTTTTGTGCTTCCCTCGTGCGTCTGAATCACTTGCACTGCTGCTTGTTTTTGTTTTTGTTTTCGGTACTACTGTACGCGCGGTTGCGAACAATCACAACCAAACCGCCACGGCACGGCCACGCCACGGCACGGCAGCAAAAGCGCCAGCCCTCGACTGGCCAAGGTTTTCGGCGACGTTGCGGAGGACAAGCAGGCCGCCTTCATCCCCTACCTCACTGCGGGCTACCCCAAGAGGGACGACACCGTTGAGCTTCTGCTCGCGCTGCAGGTATGAACGGGGAGTTGGAGGGAGAGGGAACACAGCAGCGGTGGTGGTGTCCACAGGCGTCAAGGTTGCAGGCCGAGCAGGAGCACGAAGCGTATGGTGTGGTGATGACCCGGCACGTGTTGTGCGCCGGCGGTTCGATGTCTCGAGCCTGAAATCACGAAGACAGAACTCCTCGGGTGACGACAGCAACTTCCACCACCACCGCACGTCATTTTCGCTTGATGGTTAATACCAGTGCATAATTTTTTTTTTGTCCTCCCTCTCCGCTGCTGCTGTACCTCTCGTCTTTGCAGGAGGGCGGGGCGGACGTGATCGAGCTGGGAGTTCCCTTCACCGACCCTCAGGCGGACGGGGCTACCATCCAGGCCACCAACCAGGTACAACAGCAGTACTGCTGCTGCGTTTGCCTTTTGCGGGACGCGGGTTGCGAAATTGAGGGTTCTCCGAATAGCTCTCTTCTTGCTATCTCACCCCAGCAAAAACGAAAACTACCGCCAAATGATGGGGTGTCGTTTGCGATGCATGCGCGCGTGCGTGTTTGTGTGGAGGATATGTTTCGTCAAACTACGGAATCTCATTAGTATCTACGATCGCGCCAACGGAATTATCAAGGAGATGTATGCGCGTCCGCGTGTGCTGCAGATCGCCCTTAAGAACAAGGTGACCCTCGGGGACTGCCTGGACTACGTCAGGGACGCCCGCGCGAAGGGCCTTACCGCCCCCGTCGTGCTCATGGGCTACCTCAACCCTTTCCTCGCCTACGGCCTGGACAAGCTCATGAAGGACGCCCAGGAGGCTGGTGAGAGGAGAGAGGGCGTCTTTTTTTCTGGCTTGAAAGTGCGGGCGAGCCTGACTCAGAAACGCGATCGGCGTCTTTCCACGTTATGGTTTGAAAACGGCAGGAAGAAGTGAGCGTGATTGGGGCTCGTTATACCACCACCACATACCGCATGGTGGATAAGTCAGGGGCTAGAACTGTTCAAACGGGGAGCACGCTCTCAACGGTGGCTATCATCAGCGAGGACGCCGTAGCTCCGTCCATTTCAGGTTCAAGGAAGGCCTGTCTATTTATTTGCACTGTGGCATAAGCATGACGCCGCGAAACTACTGCTGCTGCACAGCTGCGTGTTTGCCTCTGGGTATGTGCGTCGATGCTTCCCGTTTCCCCCTATTAATTGTCGCGTAGCTTGGTGCGTGTTTGCGTGTCGCTCTTTGTTTCTTCGTGAACACGCCCGTTCCGTTGCGTTGTTCCACCACTTCATATCATCTCTCTTGTTGTTTTTTTATTCTTTCCTGAATCCGCTCACACAAGACAACATTTAACTCGTAGATGAATAACCGCTGCTGCCTTTGTCCCGCCAGGCGCCGATGGGTTCGTGGTTGTGGACCTTCTCCCCGACGAGGCCCACGACTTCGTCACCAAGTGCCGCGCCAGCGAGCTGTCCTTCGTGCCCCTCGTGTCCCCCACCACCACGGACGACCGCATGCCGTACGTCGCCTCCGCCGCGGACTCGTTCGTGTACTGCGTTAGGTCAGTCTGCCCCCCCCCCCCCCCCCCCCCCCCCCC